ACACGTAACGAAAATAATGGGTTCTAGTTCGGATAATTGGATTTATTAGTACTTCAGCTACAATTTCTCTTAATTATAATTAATAGAGCGTTATCGCTGATTAAAGTTCCCTGTTGGACACGCACTAGGATTCTGCTTCTTCACTAGTCATCTCCTAGCAACGGATCGGAACACAGAAACTAACACTTCAAATCACTATGAAGTATTCTTGCCATTTCTTGTTCAATCAACCTGGAACCTCTGAACTCAACTAAAATCTCTTCTGGACCCTTCTTAGCTGCAAGCGGATTCGTGATATAAAGCCGCGATACGGACAACGCAGAAAAAACAGTTCTACTGTTACGTAGCGCAAACCACACAGAAAACACTAGTCACACACACACACACACACACACTAAGCACTGTTGGGATGTGACGTCATTGTACCTGTGCGGAAGTGTTTTTACCGAGCCGTTGCCTAGAAACGGATTTCATAATATCGTTGTTCCTTTGTTGCGTGGGTGTATTACTTATAAACGGCTGTTTCTGTGGCTCAACCGTTCTTGCATGGAGCAGATACGCCACACTATCATTACTTTAAATACAGAACCAAATGAATGTAAANAGACAAGAATAGTTTCTAATGGCTGATTTTAACTGCCAATTCATCATACCATCAGTACAAGACAATCACATTACTAACTTTGAGAATAAAGAGATCCAAAGATATTGAATCCCGGAACCCTACACGTGAAAGCGGTTATTCTTAGTTTAGGGTCTAATTACACCCTTTCGAAGACACTTTAATAACAGCTACCCTATTAACAAAACAACATTTACATGTTCTGCAACTACAGACATGTCCTTTCATAATTGCCTCGACCCTCTAGCGGTCACCCAAGGTCCAGGTAACAAATAAGTTGTTCCTGTCTAAATGCGAAATGCATGTCAACTTCTTAATGGATGGGTCTCCCTAATAAATCAGTCACTCTATTGAAATGGCTGAAAAGGAACATGCGTCCAGTAAAGAGTATTAAAAGGTTTGGACGGTTACAGGCTCAACCGTTCTTGCATGGAGCAGATACGCCACAATATCATTCCTTTAAATACAGAACCAAATGAATGTAAACAATATACAGTGATCTCAAATGTAAGCTATAAATTAATGCAAATCTGAAGTCTGTATAAGCCAGGTTCGCTGATGGCAGTTCCAAAAGAAATATCAAAATATAAGTTAGATTTAGTGGGAGTACAGGAGGTCAGAAGGGATAGAGGTGGCTCCGAACCAGCAGACGAATATACGTTTTTCTATGGAAAGGGGAATGAGATTCATGAATTAGGTACATACCTAAGAGAAACATATCAGCAGGTAAGTGGGTAGAGTTTGTTAGTGATAAGTTGTACATAATAGTAAGAAGTTGCTGGTATTATATCATTATCCTGAATGTTCATACACTAAGAGAGGATCAAATTGATGATGTGAAGGACAGGTTCTATGAAGAACTATTACATGTATTTAATAAATTCAATAAATGCCATATTACAATTTTGTTAGGAGATCTCAATGTCAAAGTAGGTAAGGAAGACATTTTCAAAGCAGCAATTCGGAATGAGAGTTTGCACGAAATTAGCAGTAATAATGGATTTGGAGTAGTAAACTTCTCTACATCCAAAAATCTGACTGACAAAGTACAATGTTCCCATGTCATAACATTCGTAAATTTACTTGGACATCTCCTGATGGAAAGACCCTCAGTCAAATTGATCATATTTTGATAGAGAGGAGAGATAATTAAAGTGTATTTGATGTCCAGTCATTTAGGGGATGCAGATTGTGATACTGACCGCTACCTGGTGGTGGCAGAAGTTGGGGAGACTCAGTAAAGAAAGAAGGCACAAATTTCATATGGAGAGTAAAGAAGAGCATCAGGTTGAAATCTCAAAGGGGTTCATATGTTTGGAAAAATTAGATGCTGAGGTGGATATTACAAGAGCTTCAAGAACTATCAGAGAGAATATCAAAATTTAAGCTAATGAGAGTTTAGGTTATTATGAGCTGAACACACATAAGCCATAGTTTGACAAAGAATGCTCAGAATTATTACATCAAAGGAAACAAGCCAAATAGCAGTGGTCACAGGATCCAAGTGAAACAAATGGGAATAATCTGAAAACATAAGACATGATATATGGTATATATATGAATTATGTCAACTGTTAGTATATAATACGATGCTTTGCACTGATATGGATACATATCAGTAGTTCAATGACTGTACATATTCCTGTGTGTAACTGCCTGATGGTCTTGTACAACTGAAACATATAGCAGCAATAAAGATCGAATATTAAAACTGAGTATTTGGTGTGTTGACAGTTGACATAATTCCTATAAATATCAGACAACAGGATGCAACCAATGAAGTTAAGACATGAAGCCATTAGGCATTTCAGGAATAAAAGAATGAATATCTGAAAGGCAGAATTAATGAGCTTACAATGAACAGTAAGAACAAGAACATTTACAGACCTGTATACAGGGATAAATGAATTCAAGAGGGATTACCAACCTAGAAGTAACTTAGTGAAGGATGAGAATGGTGATCTGCTTGAAGATTCTCACAACATTTTGAAGAAGAGGAATAACTACTTCTCTCAGATATTAAATGTACATAGGGTCAGTGATATTAGGCAGATAGAGTACATACAGCTGAGCGATTACTACCTGATCCTAGTCCTTTTTAGGTTAAAATTGATATTGCAAAGTTGAAAAGCTACAAATCACCAGATAGTGATCACATTCTGGCAGAAATGATTCATACATGATGTGAAATATTACCTTCTAAGATAAATAAATTACTTAATTATGTTTGGAATAAAGAAGACTTGCCTGATCAGTGGAAGGAGCCTATTATTGAACCAGTTCACAAGAAGGGTGATATAACTGACCATCATAATTATCATGGAATATCACTGATATCTACTTCATACAATATTTTATCCAATATTATTCTCTCAAAGTTAACATACAGATCATCAGTGTGGGTCTCGACGTAACAAATCAACTACTGATCAGATCTTTTGCAGTCATCAGATACTGGAGAAAAAATGGGAGTACAGTACAATGGGAGAGAGTACAACTGTAGACTTCAAGAAAACCTAAATTCAATTGAGAGGGAAGTACTCATAGAGTTTGGGTTACCCATGAAATTATTTATTCTGATTAAAAACATTTGTCTGATAATTTTCCTATCCAAAATAGTCTAAAACAAGGAGATGCTTACTCACCAATGCTTTCCAACTTCGCTTTAAAATGTATGCCACTATAGTGCATTTATTCTGAGTGATGTATTGACTGACACTGTTGCTTCTCATTGTGCAAAAATGTTGACCTAACTGTTTTCACATTTTAATGTACAGTACATGCAGATATTCATTTCTTACATGGATTTTGTAATGAAAATAGACTGATCTATGGGAATATCAGCAGTGGCTTCCAAATCGAGTTGCATTTCTCATCACATTGGGAAACTTTAAATTTATAATCACTTCACACAGGTGACGAACCTTAAGAATACATGTGTACACAAAATGTTGCTGCTCTGTGGTACTAACTTAGGCCAGTGTGGGTGTGCTTAGGGGAAACAAAATTTTAAAGTACCTAAGGGTCAACTACAGCTATAAATCACCTAATTTGAAGACAAATGTATAGGCTAATTAGGTTTGGTTCATTGGCTTATATCAGGTTTCATGCTTTAGTTGTAGTTTTAGCATGCTACAACAAACTCCAGTTTATCTCTCCAATAATTTGAGGGCTTTAGTTGGGTTCAACAAAATCCACAGTTCATATGATTGAAATGTTGCAAGAAGGCCGCACCATAGCTCAAGCTGTTAGTTGCTGACTTCCCAATCCCAGGTCTGGTCAAGTGGGATTTGTGGTGGACAAAGTGGTGCTGGGGTGGGTTATCTCAGAGTACTTTGGTTTCCCCTGCCAATCTTCATTCCCCCAAATTCTCCATCATAATCACCCAGGACAGGTACAATAGGCCAATCAGTGGCCGACGTGCGGAGTGGACCCAGTTGACTCCACTGCCCACTAAGCACATTTTTAAATCAGTCTTTGTTATGTTAGAGTAGGTTGCAACCTTTACTTTGGAATTTCATGTATGCAACAAAAGGCCCCATACTTGCTCCAGGCAAGAATTACCTACATAAAATTACGTTTTATTAGTGAATAAAACGGTAGCCACTTCACTTCAAATGGAACAGCATGTGGTGCACATGTTCACGTCTTGCTTACAAAATAAAAGAATAAAGGATGCCCACGTTCCGTTTTAACCCTCATGTTTGGGATTAGTGTCGCGGTTTGGCAAAATATACATTATTTTGTAAGTTTCTGAAAGAGATCAAACTTTTGTGTTATTGCAAGACACAGTTAAAGTTATCTCTTTACATAAGCACCATGCCATGATATATGGAGCACTACAAATATAGCCCCATAATTCTTAACCTGTGCATCAGAAAAGAGTAAGTAGTAGTCAACTGCAAGTCCCAGCTGCTTTACTCCTGAGGAAAATGCACCAGGTACAGACTATAGAATGCTACATGGGACCCACAGCCAACCTGGGCACTGTGCAGAAAACAAAAATCTCTTCTCCCAACCAGGAATCAAACCCTGGTTCGTTGGTCATGCAGCCTATAGCTCAGTCACAATACCAGCTGAGAGTTCCTGGCTCATGTACTGGGAAATAACAGACCTGAAATACTCTAATCATCCTTGTAATCAAGTTCCCCCCCCCCCCAAAAAAAGTGACAGTTGAGAAACATGTGACCAGGGCAACATGTTCCCAATTTAACGTACATGTGCGCAGTGACATTATTGTAACAGAGGACAGGACCTCCAAGCTCTGTATGAGAATCAACATGCACACCCAAAGTAATAACACAAAAAACATCTTGACAACAGCATAAAGACACAGCTGACATCTGGGATGGGAAAGGTTATATGCAGGACTAGAACATACACAGCTGGCAAAAGTTTATTGTGCATAATGTAAAAGTGATACTACATTCCAAACAATGATTATGCCACATTTCTTAATTAAATATTCATAAAATAAATCAGTACATGTAGTACATTGGTGTTTTACTTTTACTAAAAAATAATTCACATCAGTGATACAACTGTGTACAACAAAAGATCTTCTTTCCACTCTCTCTCTACATTGGCAATCTCAACAATTCATGTTCCATATCTACAAATGTCTGCATTTCCTGTAACAGGATGGTGTGAAGACAATTTCCAAATAGTGAAAAATATATAAATTATTAAGATCATAATATGGCAATAACTTCATCACCAAATTGCAGTGCAACAGTGATCATTCTTTAATGAATGAATGGAAATGCCTGTGAAAACTCTGGCTTCCATCACTTTTTGATGAGGTTGTCATACATTTCTTTGAATTTCAAACACCCAGCATGATTGATCTCATCGTAACCAGGAATTATCTTCTTTGACTTCTCAAACCACTTTGCAACATTAGGATATTTACTGATGTCGAAACCAAGGATCTGAAACATCCAGTTAGAAAGTTCCATTACATATATCTCCACACTTTCTAGCTAGATTAGACAGCAGCCTTTCAAAAAAATCTTTCTTTACCTCAGCAGTAGACACAGTAGAAATTATTGACAAATCAGCAATTGTAAGATCGCTTCCTGCTACAAAATCATGTTCCTCCAGAAACTTATCCAAGAACTGAAAAGCTTCCTCAATTTTCTTCATCTTCTCTGGATCACCTGGGGCTTTAGCAAACATGATTGGGTACTGCAATATGGAAACATGAAAATAAATTACAACATGCTTATAAATTAAAGTGTCAAATAAATTTTGGAAACATATTAGTAGGGAAAGTAGATTAAACTGACTAGTGTTAAAATACATTTTATCTCTTTGAAACAAGTAGCAGATATGAAAAAAACGTGGTTTTCATAAGTGGTTGATCACATCACATTGTTAAAAATTCAACGTGTCTCAACCTTCTAGTAAACCAGAAGTGACTTTTGCCATAGACTGATATCTACAGGGCTATGCAGGTCAATGCACACTCAGCAGCCTAGCCCCAAGACTACTGGACCAATGCTCACTCAGTAGCCTTGCCTCCCCCCCTCTTCCCTGACAGGATCCTAATCTGGCTCTGGCCTGCTACATGCTGGCCCATCTCCACAGACCCCTCCCCTCTCCTCTCTAGTGATTTCCCATGTGGCCCACTCTTCCTCCTTTCCTGTTCTTATATAACTGGGTGCTTTTGACTGCTGACTCTGTCTGCAGCCACCTGCTCACGTTGGTTCCTTGCTCATGGATTTTTCTACCCTAAAGATGAAGGCAATACTTTCCCCCGAAACACCACATCCCAGAAGATGGCATTCTTCTTGATATCTACAAGTTCAAAACCTAACTGGTAAAGGCAAAGCTGTTCCTGTAAGAGGACATGTAGTCACATAGGGCTGAGCGATGTCCAGGCTCTCGCATTTTCTAAACAACTGGCTCATGGATGGCAGTGAGGTTGTCAGCCTTATGTACCAGCTGCCGTTTACCCCCAGGAAGATTCCTGGTATTCATTTCTGTTACAGGCTAAGTCAACACCAGGGCAATAGTGCAGCTGGTAGGATTAGGTCAATTGAAAATTCAATGAATCGAACTATTCCCTTCAAAGAACTTCACAACCATAATATTTGCCCCTGGAACCCTACTAGTCTCTACAATGTGACCATTTTTACTTACATAATAATCACCAAATCTCTGATACAGAGTTCCAATATCAAAGTACAGCCTCTGATTAACAAGGGCACGCTTCTTGGGGTCCTTTGGGTACAGTGTATCATCCTTGCCATACTTGTCAGCTAGGTAGCCAATGATGGCACGGCTAGAAATTTAAACCAATCATTAGGATGAAATTACATTTCTTGAATTATAATGAAGGAAATTCATTCAATGGATCCCCAAGCACAATACTCTGTCAAGGAATCAAAATACTACCAGCATTTCTGAGGAAGGTGCTACTAAAGGCACTTTAGGCATGATGGAAGAGACAACAAATTCCTACAAAATGTCAGTAGTATTTTTATTCTTTGGCAACTTTCTGTGCCTAGTTGATAAACTGAATAACAACAGAGAAAACCTGACACAAACAATGAAAATCATCTCACAAAAATGAAGAAAACAAAAAGAGTGTTTGTTTTGAAAACTGAGGTTCTCATGGCAGTGAAAGTTAAGACTGTCTTCTGCCATGTGGCGCTGTGCAGTGTTACAGATAAGTACCGAACTACATGGCACAAAATCCTGGAACACCAGGATTGTAAGATTTACTTTTGTTTATGCTGGTATATAAACTCAAGTCCTGCCAGATCTCACAAAACATGTGCAGACAAGGGTGCTTCATATGTTGGTTATGAGGTTCCCAAAGTGGTTGGAACACCATGTAGTTCAGAACTTGCTGACTGCTGCCAGTGGTTTCCTGCATGACTCAGTCTTCCAAAATGTCAGGCTATATTCAAACTACACAACATTACAACCCAAAAACCGTAATGTTCTTTCAACTTTGCAACATCAGTTAAACCTAGAAAAATATAAAATAGGAATCAACATAATAAATTATTGAAACTAAAATTAACTAGCTACTGTAGCATCAACATTCCTTTATTGGCACAGATGTTAATCCTACATGTTTTGATCTGCCTCTAACCAAGTGAGCACATTTTAAATGTTTCCCTAGTTAGACTTGAAAGGATTCTGATGATGGTGTGTACTGTACTTCTTTTGGCTTATTTGGACTTCACCCATTGTCTGGTATGTAAAAGACAAAAGACCACATGGTGGTTTTTTGTCTTTTACATACCAGACGATGGGTGAAGTCCAAAATAAGCCAAAAGAAGTTTTCCCAGTTGTTTCTCAATTTTTAGGTCCACACAATGACTACAAGAGATTTCTATGTTCCTGTTTCCTTATTCATTTATTTCAAATATAATTTATTTCACCAAGTGAAATGAATTAATAACACATCTGGGACATAAATTATGAGGTTTCATATGACAGTGATTGTTCAGATTACAGTCCTGGGTTGTGACACCAGGTTGTCATCCCTCTACCTCCCATGGATCTGAGTGAACGCCTACTTTGCAACATGCCTCAATAATATTGTGCCATGCACCTGAAGTGCTGAAAACAATGTTTTATATTCTGTCCACGCAAAGCAGTAATAAAAAACAGAGTTGAAGTTTGGCAGTTCTGTGTGCAGTTCAGCTCTGCAAGGGAGGCTGAGAATAGGGGCAGGCAGTTCTGAACAGGACCTGAGTGTGGGAAGCTGAAGAATCTCCACTGTTACAAGCTGTTACCAGGGAATAGCTGGTTAATACACAGCAAACTGGAAAAGGTTTAGTGGGTGCTGTGGTGATTTGTAATACGTGTTAGCGATAGCACCATAATTATTTGTAGTTCTGATGGTATGTATAGGTGGTCAATAAATCCAATATCCAATCCTAAGTGACAATATTGACCACCTCTGTGATCCAGAGGTCCAAGGTTCGATTCCCAACACTACCAGATTTTCTGAGAAGCAGTGGGTCTTGAACGGGGTCCTCTTAGCCTTGCGAAGATAACTGAAGAGCTACGTGAATGGAAAAATAGCGGCTCAGGTCTATAAAATTGATATTAACAGCAGTGGGAATCCGTTGCTCTGAACACTTGACACACTCTAGCCACAAAAGTTGGCACTGACTTCACTGACAAGCAACAGTTGCTCGGTCGGTATAGTTCACT